TCTTCGTCGTCGCTCTGTTAGTACGTCATATGCTTCATTGATCTGATTGATTGGTTTATTTGGCCCGTCTATCACCAACATAGGCCAATCAGCTAACCAGTATTTTCGCCCCTTCCCAAAATTACTTCAACGGAGGGTTTCCAGATGGATATGCGGAGCAAATCCATCTGGCGGAGTCAGGGTAGTACTCAGCTGCCTTGGGTCAAATATGCACATAATTGTCCAACTTCTTCTGCCACTGGTATGACTCTATTTGAGTCCTCTGTAGGATACCAACCTCCCCCGTTTCCATCTAAAGGACATTTCTGTAAACTCTGTCAAACATTCGGCGCTGCAGACGGGTCTGGGACCGGTCAGTGGAAACACATCAACGTCTGGCCGATGGGAGAAGGATTCCTGCTCCCCAGTACTCACCTGGTTTGGCTATGAACCTGAGACATTAACCTAAAGGCTTCTGATACCAGATTCATCCTTTCATTTGAAATCCAGGCAGCACTCAGCCTCAAGCTGCCGGATCATATAAAGATTCACCCTGTTTTTCACATGTCTCTGATCAAGCCTTTCCTCTTTGCCTTCCTTCCAGTCCCCCTCCAACCGCCCAGGTCATTGATGGAGCTCCTGGCCTTTACTGTGCAGAGGATTTTGGATGCGGATGGAGTTTTCAGTTTCTGGTTGATTGGGGGGTTATGGACCTGAGGAATGGAATTGGATCCCTCGTCCTTTCATTCTGGACTCTGTCCTTGTTGGAGATATTTGGGCTTCCTCTTCTGGACCATCAGGGGGCAGTCCTCCCGCCATGTTCTCAATTCCTGTCACAGTGAGTTTTTAATAAATCTTTAAAACTCACTGGTTATCCGTGTGATTCTGCAGGTGGGTCAAGAAAACTATAAAACCAACAAAACTGTCCTGCTTTATGGAATTTTTACAATAATGTAAAAATAATAATGCACCTGAGAACCAGGACTGGAGAAGCTCTCTCTCCCTGCAGCCCTCCTTACTGTGGACTGTCAGACACTGACGGCGTGACAATAGTAAACGCTTTGGTTTAACGCATGCCGACTTTAAATGCTGCAGATTCTGCATTCAGTCCAAATAAGCTGAGTAAAGTAAGGGCGAGCGCTAACAGCAAAACCCAGGTTTTCAAATGTAAAGGGAAAAGTTCATTTCCAGATGGTCGGGTCTGATAATCTGTCCTCCTCTTTTCAGAGTTCAAACCAAAGAGAATGATGGGGATTTTAATTTTCCCTCAGGCTGCTCAGCAACATGATTCAGAGAAACAAACCTGCAGTTGCCGCTTCGCCGTCCCTCCCTGTTTGTTTGTCTGAAGACAGCGGCTGGAACTGTTGCTGTCCTGAATATAACGGCCTTTGGAAATATAATGGGGAGCTAAATAAAGGCTGCAATAAGAAGCAGAGGCAGGGGCTGCAGCTCAGCACCAATTTATCTCTGATCTGGCAGCCAGTTTGGTACATCTGAAGATGTTTTTTTTTTGCATGACATCACATTATAAAGAGATGAAGAGCTGATGTTTGATCCATCATGAACCCCAGGTGTTTCCTCATGACTGTGCAGGATGCGAACTCCCAGCCCAGGCCTTTCTAAGCCATTCCTACAGGCGACGGGAGGGGGTGGGTGGGTGGTGGGGGGACTGAAGGTCAGCGTGGGGTGGAATGAGGCGGAGTGGGGGGAGGGGGGTGATGGAAGGTTAGGATAAGCAACTGAGAAGGCAAATAAAGGCAACCAAATGAAGACACAGCACGCATGCATGCACACTTCTCCACAGGCATCCAGGCACTAAGTGCACTACAGGTCAAACTCCGGCCGATACATCTGCAGACCCACGTTCAGCGCATCCAAGCTCACTTTCAGACAGGCAGACGCAGAACTGACATTCATACAAATAAATGAGAGATGAAGGGTGCAGCTTTTTTAATCAGACCATGGATAGATGATAAAAAACAACATGAGGTGAAAAAAAAGGGAGAAAAACGGGATGGAAAAGAAAGACGTTCTAAATAAATCTTATCAGTGCTAAACAAGAGCCTGAATTTAGATCTGTTCAGATCTAAATAGCTCTACGTATGAAGAAGAAGAAAACGTTTAACGGTCCCAAACAGGGAACCTGCATCGTCTCATCAATAAGCTGTGAGAGGAGAGAGGAAAAAACAAAGAGGTTTGGACAGAGAGAAAGAAATCAGGACTTTCTGAAGACATGGGGGCAAACGTGTGACGTCAGAGCTGGAAATGCTGTTACATCATCAACTAGTGGACAACAGTGCAGCAAACAAACTAAGAGCAGCAGAGGAAGGAAAGGAAGAGGAGGAGAGAAATGCTCCTTGGGTTTATGCTCAGAAACAGCAGTGATGGGTTCTTATACTCGAAGGTTTACAGGTTAACAGCAGCAGCATGGAGAGAATGGATCTGATGGCAGAGAGATATAATCGACCATTTTCACAGCGCTAGTCTATCACCTTATCATCATAAAGAGAAAATCCAAATGACACCATTTTATTAGAGACGTTAAACCAAAACAACTACGCTTGACCTCATATGCAAACAGGAAAAGGAGGCGCAGGAGGAGCTGCCTTTACTCCCCTGAACTTTAGGAGGGTTTCTTCTTCTCCTTTAGGTTCTGAATCTGCCCCAAGCTGAGATTCAGGCTTCAGGGTTAGCGATGTGACACCGCGTTCAGAGGGAGAGCAGCCAGGCGCCTCCTGCACCAACCCACACTCAACAGGGGAACAGTCTCTGGCCCGAGACGGATACTGGGACTGGACCAGTCCAGATCAGACCACAGCCACACAACTGGTCAGGACTGGGTGCTGGTCAGGACCGGGTTCTGGTCAGGACTCGTGCTGGTCAGGACCGGGTTCTGGTCAGGACCGGGTGCTGGTCAGGACTCGTGCTGGTCAGGACCGGGTTCTGGTCAGGACCGGGTGCTGGTCAGGACTCGTGCACCATGAGGAGGAAAATCCAAACAAAGAAAGAAAACAGAGACAGTGCACACACACGAGCAGCTGGCGGGCCGAAGGGACACAACCATGGAGAGTAAAAATACCGCAGTCCACGTGCCGTGCAGCAGCGTACAGGAGTGTTAGTGTGTGTGGATGGGTGTGTGCCAGTTCATGTGTGTGTGTGGGAGATGTGTGTGCATGCTTTCGGCAAACTCACTCCCAGGGGCTGGGCTGGTATTGGCTGTAGCGGTGGAGAGAGCTACGTGAGAGGGGGTAGAGATAGTGTTTACGTCGTGGAGCTGACTGAGCACGGAGGAGCGCCGTCTCACTGCTCCCTGAAAGGAACCGCTTCGCTTGAATGTGCTCACTACCTCCATCTGCAGGACAGAGACAAAACAGCAGCATCACTCAGTGAGGGAAGGAGGCCTGGCCTGAGGGGGGGTTTCTCTCGCCCTGATGAAATTATTGCCCTGATGTCCTTTTCTCCTCCAGCTTCCCTAAACACACCGTTGCCCCCCCGACTGAATCCCCTTTTCCTGCCAAGCAGTTGCATTTTCTTCCAGTCTTTGCAAAGTGGTCTGTTAATAGTTCTCTGAGATTCCCCCTATTAGAGGACTTCCACATTTAGCCTGCTAAAAGCAGAAGGCAGCTCGACATTTTTGTCAATTTAAGCTAATATTTGACCTTAAAGTGAGGCAGTGTTGTTTGAATCTCCAGCAGCCTTTAACAAACACAGGCTACACTGATTTATCTGCTTTAACTCTATAGAAAAAACCCACAAATAACAAACTGACAGAATCCATTAAAGCGACATTTAATGACTGTATTTACTTATGTGTTACACTGGTGTTTTATTACCTCCATTGATACTCGGAACCATTTTAATAAGTCAAGAATTTTGAATCAGTTTATAAATAAGCTGGTCAGCCATGACATGTCTGTCAGGGGTACAGCACAGGAATAAAAGACTGCTAACGCAACACGTTTCCCCTGCTAGCAGATCAGCATGACCGACCCCCAGATTCCACATCCTCAGTCAGCGCTCCGCCCTGCTCACGTACGGCGTGTGGAGCACGCTACTACTCCGCACGTCACCGTTCACATACATCGTCTCCGTCCTCACCTTCAAAATACAGAGCTGAGCTATTTTTAGCTCCGCGGCGGTCCGGCCAGGTCCAGATCCGTTACTGCAATCGCACCAAACAGGAAAAAGGATGGCGAGAAGATCCTGTTTGTCAAATTAAAATATGGCAACGACAGATCGGTAACTAGAGATTTGAGCGTAATTCTTCTATATTCCCAAAAACTAAGAGCGTTTAATTAAATAACTGGATGCCAGCTATCGGTACTTTAGTAGACAAGGAAGCACATTTCTCATCTATTTAAAATATTTATTTTATACAGAGGCTTAAAAGTTTCATAAAATCCAGCCTGTTTGAGCAGAAGCGTGTGTGATTGATGCTGATGGTGAGTTTTAATTATATTACATGAAAATAGGCCTTAATTTCAACATGTTTTGAATTTAATAATAATATTGCGCATGCTCTCCTTGAGCTCCAAGGAAGTCGAAACGGAGCAAGACGGGAGGAACCGCAGAGGCTGTAGGCTTTGCTTTACACAGGCGGTCTGGAACGGAGCGGGGCGGAGGATGTGGCTATCGTTGTGAGCGGATCATTTGGAGACGTTAACCCAAGAACTGCAAGTTTGCACCACTGCAGCCCAATGCAGGACCTGCAGGACCACGTACGACCATGCAGGACCTTGCAGGGCCATGCAGGACCTTGCAGGGCCATGCAGGACCTTGCAGGACCATTCAGGACCTCGCAGGGCCTTGCAGGAACTTGCAGGACCTTGCAGGACCTTGCAGGGCCATGCAGGACTTTGCAGGACCATGCAGGACCTCGCAGGGCCTTGCAGGACCTTGCTGGCTCATGCAGGACCTTGCAGGACCTTGCTGGCTCATGCAGGACCTCGCATGGCCATGCAGGACCTTGCAGGACCTTGCAGGGCCTTGCAGGACCTTGCTGGCTCATGCAGGACCTTGCAGGGCCATGCATATCCAGCAGCAGCAGAAGAAACAATTTCACCAAGGGAAAGGGAAAAAGAAGAGACATCAGAAAACGAGGATAAACATTGTGCTAGCTTCCTGCAGGTGGGAGGAGCTAATGAAGGAGAAAGATTTTAAAATGTAACCTGAAGTTACCATGTTTTTTATTGACAAGGAAGTGAACTTTATTGCCTAAATTAGCTTAAAGCGAAGTTTTTCCATAAATAAGTAAATGATGCTGTTTGCCATAGAAAGCATAACAGTAGATCCTGTAAATGCATCATTGGTTCTGAATCGGAGGTTTAAGTGGGTTTAGATACTTCAAAGATGCAATGAACACTTTTTATCACACTGAACGTCAGTTTGTAGAGACTTTGCTTCACTTCAGACACACTGGGCCTCAACATGTTTAAGGATGTAGCCTGCGTAGGAGTGAAACACCCCCATACTACCGTTAGATTATAGTAATCCTTTCAGCCCTTTGAGGTAATCCCCAAAGAGATGTTAGCATCTAAATGTGGCGCAGCTAAGACCATCAGATAAAATCCATCTGATATACTTTTGATAAAAACTTGTTCATCATAGTGGAGAAAAAATCTAAAAAATAAAATCAATTAAGTGGAGTAATAGGCTTTTATTCTGCGTCTAGAGATAAAACCATAGAGAAACTTCGTTCTCACACTCATGCCAGTTTTTTGTGAATGTAACTCAGTTTTTATTTCAACGAAACCTTGGAGCCGCTCAGAGGTGAGGCGACATTCAGACCTACTCAGCATCTCTGAAAAATATATCAGACTACTTTACAAAAACACAAGAAAATCTGGCTGCTTAGTGGAAAATATGAGCAAGCTAACGTTACATCTGTGTCATTTTGTGCTCAGACCAAATAATCTGACAGAAACCTGTAGACCTGTGGAGCGGGCACTAAAACAGAGCAGCTGGCCCAGCTCTCTGAGGAGAGTTGATCTTCATGCAGGTAAACGTTTATCTTCACATGAGCCTTAGATAGTTTGAATGAGGACGCTCCATCAATAAATAAACACGCCCCCTCATGGTGACCATGTGCTCAGAAGGTACCACCTCCAAGACATAGGAAGCCGTTTTCAGAGGATTTAGAACAGAAATGTCAGCTGTGTCAGAGAGAAAAAGTAAAGCATTATGTTTGGCACATTTCAGAGGACCAGCAGAGACTGGATGAGACAGCCTGACTTTTGAAGAGCAAGAACAAATCAGTTTAAGACCTTAAACTTATCAAAGAGTCCGTATTTCTAAGGAGTTCTTTATCTCTTTACAAAAGTCTGTTCTTCAAGCATGAGAAGACCATGATACCTGCAGTTTATCTGGGTTGGGCTGAATTTCAGGGACCTTATCACCGAATGATGGGGGTGTTAATAAATTAGCTGCTTGATGAAAGCAGAGCAAACATCAGGAACAGTGATTGGCTCAGAAACGGCCCAGATTTTTCCTCCGTTCACCTCAAACAAACTGCACACGTGTCATGGCCGAGTGAAGGTTCAGGTTGAAATGTCTGGGTGTCCGTGCTCCGCTGCCAAAGTCACAGCTACGGTTGGAACTGGAGCTCCAGTCTGATAGTACCTGAGTCTGGATACGGTTAAGGCCTCTGAACCAGAGGATCTGTCCGCGGCGCAGCTCTCGCTCTGCACAGTCAATCTCCTCCTCATCCTCGGCAAGCTCCTCCCCTTCCTCCTCCCCGGGCTCCAGGCCAAGCCCCGCCTCTTTCAGACATGGCAGTCGCTCTGTTGGAACTGTGGCGATCACCTGGGTGCCACATTTATTGGCATTAGGACAGTCAGCTCCTTCATTTTCATTTAAAACAATCAAAGTAGTCTCAGATTAAGCCAGATTATGGCCATTTCAGGATTTAGATTAGCAAGAACTTCTAGAGGAGAAATTGAGGAAAACAGTCAGAACTTTTGTTACCTGTCCATATTTGATTAAATAACCGACATATTAATAAAAGTGCTTTAATTCCCCAAATTGAGACAGATTTAAAATCCAGTTAACTTCATCATTTATAAATACAGCAACAGTAAAAATGTTTTGAAATGAATGTTCAGCCTTTTACGTGCATCTAGAAGGCTCTTTAAAACAATTAAAAACATGTAAATGTGCTTTTTTATCAGGTGTGTAACTCGATGTGATGTTTCTAGAGATCTAAATCTGGATTCTAATCTACTTCCATCCAATTTCTGCTGCAGCGCTAGCCTAGTAAACTAGCCCCACCCGCTAGCGGCCAAAATCATTTTTGCCTACAAGTGGTCTCAAACAGACGGGCCAATCACAACGCAGAGATGCGTTTTGAATTTTTGGATGCAAAGTGGGCGGCGTTTTGGCTGGACGACAAAGCTGCGTGACGCTGGAGAAAGCACAACAACAAACCGCACTCTGGAGAGACACAGCAGGCTGAAAAGCTCACCTGCCCCCAGAGAAGCTCTCCAACTCCCACAAATAGACACCAGAGCCACTGCTCCACGTTGAGGGGGGCACAGCTGAAGGGTTTCCCCCCCCACTGCACGATCACAATCTGCAGAGGAAACATAAAAGAACGTTCAGTTAAACCACCGTCCAGCGGCCCTGAACGCATCATTCATTACTGCAATCACAAGAAAACAGAGAAGTCTTCGTCTGATTTGGGGTTTTTGAATGTGACTAAAAGGCTTCTCTCTGAGCTGCATGTTTTATTTCAGAAGAAGAAAATGTTTTACAGCTGAACATTTCCTTCTGTTCCAGCTCCTAATAATCCTGCATAGGTATGATGGAGGCTGTGCAGAAGATTTTTTATCACATATTATCATTTTGATTCGATCAGGATTTTAGCCATCTGTCAGGGAAAGAGAATTCTCTCTTCCACAAATTCAAATGTCCAGTTTTCTTAGTTCTTCATATTTATTCTAAAACAGAGCAGATACCCTGAATGTATGGCAGATATACCAACAGCAGGCAGCGATAAAACCTGTAAATCAGGAAGAGGAACCAAGTAATGAGGAAACAGAGACACAAGAATAACTGGGAAAAAAGGAGACAAAGAAAGACAAATGGAGGAGCAGCACAGCAGAGCAGGACGAAAGGAGAGAGAAAGGGATGTAAGATAAAAAGAAAGGATGGAAATAAAAAAGGAATTTCAATGCATGATTTGATCAAATCGACTTAAGTGACTTGGAGTGAACTGGAGCTATGGAAGGAAGCCGAACTACTCCAAGGAATGAATTGAAGAAGGAGGAAGAACGTTGGTAGGTAGGGATGGGAATGGAAAACTGGTTCCTGTTCAGAACCGGCTCCGTGTTTTCCAATTCCATGGCACCGTTTGGCAGCTCGCTTAACGATCCTCTTAAGGGTTCCAGGCAGCACCAGAGCCTAGCGCTGGGCAGCAACACGTTACTTTTTTATGCAAGTCACACACACGACATTCAGTAAGCAAATATGACGTGACCAGGTGTAAGTCTAGAAAAAAATAAATGGCGCCCCATCGGGTAAAGTGATCAAAAGTTTGGCTTCATTTTAAGGAAGAGAAAGATGGCAACAAGGCGTTTTGCAATCATTGCAAAGTGGCAATTACATCCGCGGGAGGAAATACATCCAACATGCAGAAACACCTGCATGACAATGAATGCCGTGTTTTTGATGGACAGAAGCTAAAGTTGCGACCAGCATGGAAGGCAACTCTGGTGGTTAGTAGCTAGTTTTATATCACTGACTGAGCTTAATGTGCTTCCTAGTAAATCATATCCCATTTCTAGAAACAAACTAATTTCCTACCTCTCTTTTGGGTTATTAAGGGAGTCTGCCTTTCTCGTTAATCCAGCTCTTCATTGCTAGCATCTCTAATTAGAACCACTGCTAGCTGGAATTCCTACATGATTCTATCTATTAAAATGGATGTAACGAAACATGCTACGAAGTTGCATTGCAGTTCAGGGAGCGAGAGAAAGGTGACGCTCGTTTATTTAAATCACGGGGAGATGAGTTTATTTCCCGAAACTGTACAGTAATTCTTTTTTCATTAAACGGATGCCTTCTCCATTAGATTTAGATGACTGGGACCAGACGGGTAGCCTGACTGGATCAGAGGCTGCAGCTTCTGTTCACTACCTTCTGTTTTCGCCAAGGCAAGCAGGAATAGAATGTCCCAGGCGAAGGTAGAAGAATGTCATCGTGCACCAAATTTTTATCAACAGAATCCGTAAGAGAATCGATAAGGGAATCGGAATCATAAAAATCCTATCAATTCCCAACCCACATGTAGGGAATGACAAAAGAAGAAGGGATGTTGGTAGGCCACAAGGAGAGAAGGAAAGAAGGAGGAAGGGATGTTGGTAGGCAGCAAGGCGGGAAGGAAAGAAGGAAGAAGGGATGTTGGTAGGGAGCAAGGAGGGAAGGAAAGAAGGAAGAAGGGATGTTGGTAGGGAGCAAGGAGGGAAGGAAAGAAGGAAGAAGGGATGTTGGTAGGGAGCAAGGAGGGAAGGAA